TTTATAATCCCCACCCCCTATTAAAAATAATTAGAATTATCTTGAAATGTTTCCACTTCCACGCAATGAACTTTTGACAAAGTAATTTTATGGTACTTGAACTGGATCAATACATTCCGGTCAATACCAATGAGGGCGAGTTTGCCTAAAATGGCAGCCGCCTAATGGGAAACCAAAGGCTGCTTGGATCAATGACAGCCACACACAGTGCATCTTTGTAACTACAATCGATTTCCCAGAAAAGTAAATCAAGACAAAATCATTTGCCAAAGCCACGCACTGAGTATTTTTGTGGGGTTTTTTTTTTTTTTTTTTTTGCTTCTTTTTAAATATCAGGTAGTTTTCTAATACTGAAATTTCAACTTCTAAAGATAATAACTTTGGCTATTAAAACCACCACTTTGAAACTTAAAGTAAAAAAATATCTTAACAATATGCAACTGGGTCTAATCTATTTCAATACTTTTTTTACTCACAGGAAAAGCGAGGAGATTTATGAAACCTACCTAAGAGATTAACCAGACATCGAGTGTTCAGTCTCTGATGTGTATCAGAGAGATCTATAACTCCCATCTGGTTACAATAAGAAGAAAAGTGAAAAACCTGGGGTTTCATTGTAACTTTAAAGGACAAAATATTTTACTTGAAATACGAAAACTGAAAGGCAATTTAGGGGGCCTAATATCCCTGAAGCAAATAGGAATGTCTTTCCACTGGAAATAAAAACAAACTGTGGAATACGAAAGATGCAAATGCTCGCTTTCCCTTAGAGAATCCACAACCAAGTGCCTCGCAGCCCAGGCCTGCTGTCTTCCCCGGAACCTGGAATTTACCTCTCATGGGGCTACTTTGATTTTCCTTCAACTTCTGAAATTGGCTTGGAAGTCTGCTTCATCCTGCTCAAGATATGAAGGCATATGTATTTTGATTTAATAAGAGGACTTTTCCGTTTCCCAATGAACAACCATTCTTTTACTTTAACTGGCTATATTTGAAGTTGAAATTTTGAAGAAATTTGTGCATTTGACCAAATTTCCATGTTTCCTTATGCTGATTTTCAGTAACTGATTCATTCTAGAATATACATGGCCCAAATTAATTTAAATCATTACCTCTCTAAAAGAAATTTACAAATTGATAGGCAGAGGGAATTTTTGTAAATAGAGTACAATGAGTGGTGATTTGCTCTGTCAATATTAAAATGGAATATAGATGACTGACCATAGAATGCCACTGCTACAGGAATAAACAAATGAATTAGGATAGAAAACAGAGTACAGAAATGGAACCATGTTCACTAGAAGTGCAGTATACTTATTAACTTGTTCTACATATGTTTATCAAATGATAAGAAAACAACCAAAACAGTCAAAATCCTTGAGTTCATGAGGTTATAATTTAGCAAGGTGGAGCAAAACAATCAGCAAAAATAAATGGGTAAATTTTCTCATCGGTTAGACGGTGAGAAGTACTACGACAAAAATGAGGAAGAAGAGAGAAAATAGCAGAGTGGTATGCTGTCATACACAGGTGCGCATGGTCCCCCCTGGCCAGGAGGCCTTGGTGCCAAGACTTGAAAGAGAACAGATAGCATCCTAAGCTGACAACTGGCCAGAGGACCAGCAGTGACAGGCTTCTGGTTGGACTGGTAGCCAGCATGCATGTCTCAATATAATGAAGGTAGCATTCCAAAACAATGAAGAAGAAAGGGGAAAAAAATAATACATGATGTGGAACAAATGAATATCTCTTTGGAAAATACAAATGACTTTATATTCCCACCTTATTCCATGTACACACAAAAGTAAATTCAAGTGAGTTGGGAATGAAATGCAGAGCTCTCCAATTAAAGAAGTCAATAGAAAATCTCCATCCACATTTGCTCCACCCCCAAATCTTACCAAAACAATTGTCTGGAGGTTTTTGAAGACACAAACCTACAAAGAGGCAACAAAAAAAATTTTTTTTGGAAGGTAAGTAGAATGATGAGTAGACACTGAGCAGAACTCAGAAAGCCGACTCTTTGAGCAGCGGTGGGAAAGTCCAAGCTACCACCCCCACCTTCCCCACAGCATCCCCAAAGTCTCAGAGAGCAGGAGCACCGTGCACTTCCAGGAGTAAGGCTACGAATCAGAAGGCTGTGTACGGAGGACTTTGACATTTGACACACAGATCCTGCCCTCTGTTCTTCACAGGAAGCTTCTCCTCCTCTCTAAGAGAAAATGCAGGTTTCTCCTTGGGAGAGGGGAAAATGACTCAGCTACTTTGAAGCAGAGAGCTCATCCTTCTGCCCACGTGTGGCCCCAGGGGCAGGGGCCAGAGTTTTACCTTCCAGGGAGAAAGAGAAAGTGTATTCTTTGCTGAATTTGAACCAACCCAAGAGGAATGACCTAAACAAGAGGCAACATCAGAAAATTCATGGAAAAGTGGATTTAAAAGTTTATTTGGGGGGCCGGCACTGTGGCACAGTGGGTTAAAGCCCTGGTCTGAAGCACTGGCATCCCATATGGGCGCCGGTTCTAGTCCCGGCTGCTCCTCTTCCGATCCAGCTCTCTGCTGTGGCCTGGGAAAGCAGTAGAAGATGGCCCAAGTCCTTGGGCCCCTGAAGCCATGTGGGAGCCCTGGAAGAAGCTCCTAGCTTCAGACCGGCACAGCTCCGGCCGTTGTGGCCAATTGGGGAGTGAACCAGCAAATGGAAGTCCTCTCTCTCTGTCTCTACCTCTCTCTGTAACTCTGCCTTTCAAATAAATAAAAAATAAATCTTTAAAAAAAGTTTATTTGGGTCCAAGAATTTTTTGGAATCTATGTATAGTTTTTTCATAATATGCCTTTTCCATGAAATTTTTGAAGCCCCCAGATACATTAAAAACAAGGATTCCCCCACACCACTCCTCATTCAGACCACCCTACAATGAAGACTACTGTGCACAAAGGACTCTGAAGTATAAGCAGATAAACTACAAGGTATTTGAAAAAATCCACTCAGGGGAATGTTGGGAAAGAAGCAAACTAGAAAAGATAGAAGAAAGAAAACTTTAGGGAAAAAAAAAAATGAACATGGCCAGTGTTGTGACACAGCAGGCTAAGTCACCACTTATAATATTGGTGTCCCATATTGGAATGCTGGTTAGAGTCCCAGCTGCTCTGCTTCTGATCCAGCTCCCTGCTAATGCACCTCTGAAAGCAGTGGAGGATGACCCAGGTACCTGCACCCCTGCCACCCATGTGGTAGACTCAGATGGAGTTCCTGGCTCCTGGCTTCAGTACAGCCTAGCCCCAACCGTTTGGGGAATGAACCAGAGGATAAAAGATCTTTCTCTCTGTGTCTCCCTGTGTGTCATTTTGCCTTTCAAATAAATAAATCTTAAAAAGCACACACACACACACACACACACAAAAGCAAAAATTAACATCCTCCGAGGACTAAGAGGAAATACTACACCTCAGAAACAAAACACACAGAAACAGGCGATAACAGAGCAGCATCTAGTGAAACACAAATGTAAATGTAACAGAAAAGTCACCCTAGATTGATATATTTGACCACATTGAAATGCAGAAATTCTGCTCAACAGAAGCCATCATCATGGAAATGAAAAGATAAGCCTCAGAGTAGCAAAAAGTATTTGAAATTTTATGACCAATGAAGTATTTTGTACCCAGAATACACAAACAACTTTCAAAAATCAATAAGGAAAAACAGGCAGGAACCCAGTAGAAAACTGGGCAAAAGGTTTCAACAAATACTTTACCAAAGAGAATATTCAAATAGATGTGAAAAGGTGCTCACAGGAAAATGCAAATTAAAGTCACAGTAACAGGCCCTCAATCAGAATGGCTGAAACAAAAAGCAAACAGGCCAAGAGCAGCAAGCATTAGTGAGAACATAAAAATCAACCAACACCCTCACGCTCGGCTGGAGGGAAGGGAAATTGGTAAAACCCTTTTGGAAAACTGGCAACACCGGCCAGTAATTCTACTTGCAGGCATATATCCAACAGGGACACACACTTATGTGACTAAAAGACGTGCAAGAATGATCACAGCAACACTGTCCATCAAAACCAGAAATACTGGTCTATCGACAGTATAGTGGATATATACGCCAACAGGTTGCCATGTAGCAACAAGAACAAACCCAAGATAAATGAGTATTACAAACAATGTTGAGTGAAGAAGGCCAAGCACAGAAGAATATGGGTCGGTGTGTTGTTCCACCTGTGCGACTTTCAAACACTAAATGAGGGCAAATATCTCCTCACCAAAGAATTTGAGTTGCCAAACTGAAAAGATTTAAGGAGTGTGGGGCACATTAAGCGAGACTAATCCTCCACCAAAGCTCAACGTTAGAGGATTTGAGGGGCCAGCATTGTGGCACAGTGAGTTAGGCTACCTGCGACACCAGCATCCCAAGTCAGTTCTGATTTGAGTCCTGGCTGCTCTGCTTCTGATCCAGTTTGCTGCTAATGTGCCTGGGAAGGCAGCAGATGATGGTCCAGGTACTTGGGTCCTTGCCACCCATGTGGAAGCCCAGGATGGAGTTCTTGGCTCCTGGCTTTGACCTGGCCCAGCCCTGGCCTTTGTGGATATTTGGGAAATGGATCAGAAGATGGAAGACTGCAGTCGCTTGCTCTCTTCTCTCTCTCTCTCTCTCTGCCTTCTAAATAAATAAATCTTTTTTCCCCAACCTAACAGGAGTTTTTATTGTTTAAGACCCAGTCATGCATACTAAAATTTATATTTTCACCACTTCGACTTAGAAAATGCACTGGAAAAATAAACTTTTGGTCAAAACAAACACTGAAGTAGATGAATCCACCATGTGTCCCTATGACCAGAACCAAACTGAATTTCAGTTTGAAGCCAAGAATGAGACCAGAGGCAGAACTGGTGCCCTCAGCAGGTCAGGAAATTCATGCAGCTCCCACCCCATCAGAGTGCTGTCAGCGGTTCTTGGCCACCGAGAAAGTTCAAGTATTTCACTTGTAACAGGGTCCTACCTGATAGGCCAGGAAGCCCAGCTGTATCCTCGAGAATCCACACTGCCAGCCGACACACTGCGGCCCGGGGGTTGCTCAGGGTGCCCGCGGTCCACAGATCCCAAGGCACTGTCCCCGCTAGGGAGGGTACCTGACTCACTGATGTTTGTTTCAGGGGACTGGCTAACAGCAGGAGGGCAGCTGGGACGTCCAGCTCGCACCTCTGAGGCCAGTCCCGCAGGCAGCAGCGCCGGGCGGTGATGCTGTCGCAGGTGGGGCCAGGCTGGCACAACTCTCCCACAAAGTCGTCCTCTGAGGTCAGCAGCACCGCGTTCCGGGTGGCGGCGTCCAGCCTGGAGGTCTGTGTGGAGAGTTCGGGTCAGACCCGTGGAGGAAGGATCTGTTTGCTGTTTTCTCTTTCAGAAATGGTTCTGATGATGGCAAAAATGCCTTTAAATATTCGCGGTCTGTTCACTACGTGGACTGCCTTTATCCCAGTGGGGAAACTACCCTGGAGGATGCCAATCACCTTTTTGGCTATAAAAGGACCAAAATGAGATGCTTTCGATAAGCTCACTCCGCAAGAATCACAGTTCCATTCATCTGGGTTTCTTCAGACTGAAGGAGCCTCTCTAAGTTGGAGTGTATGGCGCGGAATGGGAGATTAGCTTGGGGTCCGTCTGTCTGGGCGGACACGGAGGACGAGGCAGCCGCGGGGGTCGCCGTGGGGCCGCACCGGGAGGACATCTTTCAAGCCCAATGGCTTCAGGTGACTGGACACTTCCGCCAGCGTCTCCGGCAGCTGTGGTAGCTGACCAGGAGCTGCAGGGCCCACTCGTAATCGAACTTGCGTGGCCGGAAGGCCTCGTCCAGAGACACCCTTAGGGTCGCGTGCTCCATGCGCGCCATGTCCCCAGGGGCCTGCACGTACCTCAGCCTCCTTTCCGGCTTCTCCTGCAGCTCTTCCCCGGCTTTGGCGACCAGCTCGTCAGACAAGGAGCACACGTAGCTCATTCTCGGAGACGGAGGCGGCCGCTTCTTGAGTCGCTTGCTTCTGACCTTTGCTACCTGGGGCCGCCCGGGCCTGGCCCCGCTACGGGGCGCAGCGCGGGTCAGTCCTCAGCGGGCGCCCTGGCGGGCAGCGCGCACCTAAATGAGTAAGTGTGCTCATGGCCTGGGAAAGCAGCGGAAGATAACCCAAGTGCTTGAGCCCCTGCTACGCACGCAGGAGAGCCAGCTGAGGCGCCTGGCTTCGGCCTGGCCCAGCCCTCACTGTTGCAGTCCCATCAGCAGGGAGCTGGCTTGGAAGCAGAGCAGCAGGGACTGGAGCTGATGCTCCAATATGGGCTGCCAGCATGGCAGGCGGTGGCCTAACCTGCTGCACCACAGCACCAGCCCCCTTCCCCAGATTTTTATATCTGCGGAGGCTTCCTGGAACCCTGGATACCAAGCGGTAACCGTATAGGGTGAGGTTCCCGCGATCCTTTGTCCAGCCACAACACTTTGTTCACAATAACCAAATGCAGTTTGCATTATACAGGTTCGTTTGCCAGTGTAAAACAAGTTAGGCTCATGAACGCTGAAAATCTGATGTTCTGAATAACCCTTTTCCTACATAGCACTTAGCAGATATTTTAAAAAATTCTGCAGTCGCCTGGTCGACCGAGCCTTCCTTGCTTGGGAGTTTAACATTTTTCACATCATACATTTTTCCCTTGAAAACACGTGAGCCAGCCGGTACTAGGCAGGAGAGGTTTCACGTTTCCTGACCCCAGTGATGTGACTATAAATTTCTTTGGTTTTCAGCCTCACAGCAGTGCTATGAACCAAGTTTCTGGGGTTTTTTTTTTTTTTTTTTTTTGGCTTTTTTCTCCTCTCAGCCATCAGCTAATGAGCCCGTGGAGTTAACCGTTCTCCAGTCTTTTCCATAGTTACCTCATGTACTACAGATTCTACTTCAGCATTTTCTGGAGCAGGCGCCTGTGCAGATGGGTGAATTTCATCTTCCTTTTTCTGGATGAACCATAATTTTGATTCATTAACATTGAACTCACAGCCAACAGCACTAAATATAACTCGTGCCTGAACGCAGCTCATCTGACGTGTGAATTTTCTCCATTAGGCACGTCACAGCCTTCCTGCACTTAGGCCACCAGGCACCTCCTCAGCACCATGCTTGCGGCCCATTTTAAACAATGACATCAAGCAAACGCCACGCCTCCCCCTTGCCGCCAAAGGCAGCCTGCAGACCCTCCTGGAGCTGGTTGACTGAGCCATCAGAGCCTAGTTGGAGAATAAAAGTTCAAGTTTATTCAGCTGATCAAACTGAGGACTTAAAACTGGAAACAACCGGCCTGAATTGACTGCTCCACAAGCCCGAGGTGGGTTTCAGGTTTTATGCTTTTCTTCCTGAGTTTTACAACCTAGGTTTATGTGTGGCATCTTGGACACTGACAATCAAAGAATACCTTGTTGATCACTGAACATTATCTGGTAATAGCTAACAAACTTGACTGTGGCTTAAGCAGGTGCGTTACATTCCCATTCTCCATGTTGCCTATATGCAGGGAGAGCAAAGAATGACACTAAAAGTAACGCTCACTGCTTCTTAAGGTATGTAGGTGTTTCCTTGGTCACAGTTGGAGTTTGGTGACAGGTCCCAGTACCTGGGAACCTTCTGCAGGTGTCTTCACTGCACAGACAGAATCCAGCTGACTCAGGCCTCTGTAGCAAATCAGTCCACCGTGAAGTTTGCAAGTTTGAAATGGCGAACACTTTGTCCCTGACCCTTTTGCAGTGGCTTCCCAAGATAAAAACACAGGGAATTCAAGAGGAAGCAATGCTACATTTTTTATTTTTTAATGTTTTATAGAAACCAAGAAAAGAATGTTATTATTCACAGTGTCCTTTAGGTGAACTCTGGGGTCATGATGTGGTTGAGAAACCAAATTTACCACTGAAAAGCATTGCACATGTGGGAGCATAAGAAAATATTTGCTAGGTATTTATAGATTCACTTTTTTTTTGGACAGGCAGAGTGGACAGTGAGAGAGAGAGAGAGAGAGGAAGGTCTTCCTTTTTGCCGTTGGTTCACCCTCCAATGGCCGCCGCGGCCGGCACACTGTGCTGATCTGAAGGCAGGAGCCAGGTGCTTCTCCTGGTCTCCCATGGGGTGCAGGGCCCAAGCACTTGGGCCATCCTCCACTGCACTCCCTGGCCACAGCAGAGAGCTGGCCTGGAAGAGGGGCAACCGGGACAGAATCCGGTACCCCGACCGGGACTAGAACCCGGTGTGCTGGCGCCACTAGGCGGAGGATTAGCCTATTGAGCTGCGGTGCCGGCCTCACATAATTTTTAAAAGCATAGGAAAAACATCTGAAATCTACGAGAGTGATAACCACAGTAACAAGAGGGTCCCATCCTCGTGTGTAGATCTCTGCACATTGACGCACACATACTTAATTTTACAAAAATGGCCCATCTCAGAGTTGCTGTTTCTATTATAGACACTTTTTCCATTTTTGGACACTTTTTAGGTCCCTCCTTCAACCTCATTTAACCCTGCCTTCTATGCTGATTTTTCCACGGGCTTATAATCAGATGCTAACATATTAAAACGTTTTTAGGTGTTTCCGTTTTCTATATTTTACCAAGAGGATTACTATTTTATAGATTTGCCTGTGTCTTGATTTTCTCACTTCCATCTTGGAAATGCCTCCACACCACACGGTATAGACCTGACTCCCTCTAAAGTTCACATTTCATGGAATGTACATCCCATACTATCTACTTGAACAATTTGTTTTCAGAAGATTTACCATGTGGGATTTCTGGAATAAAAGCTGCAATAAATATTCCTATATAATGTATATCATCTTAAATTTTTTTAAAATTTATTTTCATTTTATTTGAAAGGCAGACACACACACACACGCACGCACAGAGTCCCCATTTACTGGTTCTCTCCCTAAATGCCCACCACAGCCAGGGCTCAATGAGGCTGAGGCCAGGAAGCCAGAACTCAAACAGGGTCTCCCAAGAGGGGTGCCAGGAACATACATACTTGAGCCATCATCTGCTGCCTCCCAGAATATGCAATAGCAGGAAGCCAGAGTGGAAGCAGAGGAGCTGAGACTTGAACCAGGCACCCAGATATTGGATGCAGATGTCCCAACCTAACTGGCCCCCAGATGTAGGTCTTAGTGTTTCTGTTCCTCCTGCCTAAATTCTCAAGTGTGGGCTAGTTAGCTGTATTACACTTGCACGTTGTTAATCTTTATATATGTAGCCAGATTACCTTCCAGAGGGCTAGAGCAGTTTTCAGTCCCACTAGCACTGAATCCATCTCTTTTCCACATATTTCCACCAGCCATAGAGGTGATCATTCTTGTAATTTTTGGATATGTACATATGCCAATTTTAGCAAATCTTTGGTGATTGTTTATTTAAATAACTTTCAGCTCTTTTGCTTTTTTAAGTGCTCTCTTCTTATTACTGCTCAAGTGTTCCTTATTTATTATTGAATTAATTTTTTATCTTTCATATGCATTGCAAATATTTTTCCAATCTAAGTCTTTTTACTTCTTTGGTATCTTTATTTTTATGTGTGTGTCATTTGTATATATGTATTGATATGTGTGTATATGTACAAAATAAACACACATATATATATTAAATTTTTCTGGCATCAGCTATGTCTATACAGAATTTCTGCCTTTAGTTTCGCCTTAAAAAGATCTCTCTGACCCCTGGGTCTCCATGTATTTATTCTCTTGGACTTTTTGTAAACATTGTATCATTTCTCTATTTATTTTATACTTGCTTTATTCCTTATGTGGTTTGTGTACAATGGACCAGTAGGACCTTCATTTTTCCAGAGGGATAAGTTGTTTGGCCCAAGTCATTTGCCAAACAAACCACCTTTTCCTCTGAGCCAGCAGCGGCTCCGTGTGACAGGCTGTGGCAAAGGACACTGCACTTCTCTCCGCCCCACAGCCTGCCCCACTGCCTGTCTATTCCAGTGTCATTACCCTATGGTCCTTGTTACAAACCCTTCTTTTTACGCACGTTCTGCCTCACAGTAGCCACCGCCTGCTCTCGCCTGAAGTCTGCACCCACCTTCTCCTGAACACAGGTAGCCCCAGCCCTGTGGTCAGCGTGGCCCCAGCACGCTGCTTGCTAAGAGGCTGTGAGTGCAGCGCCCTGCTCTGCCCCTGCCCTCCAGTCTCACCCCGACGGAATGGCAGGGCGAGGGGACTCTGGGCTGTGCTGGTGTCAGCAGCAGCCCCCTCCCCAACTGTACCTCTGATGGCTGCTTTGGGGCAGAGTTCCCTCTCTGAGAAAGAAGCCACCCCCTGGTTCTGAGCCTCTGGGCTCTGGCTGGGTCTTTACCACTATGGCCTGGCCTCCTGGAAGGAATGCAAGTGTGCCCAGGCCCTAGGAAACCAAGCCCAGTGCAGCAGGGCTACTGCTGAAATGACTTGCTGCTTCCACCAGGAGCCCTGCGCCCTGGAGCTGCTCTGCTCAGTGGTGTCTCCTTGGGTGCAGGACGCGCACAGATCCTCAGACCCAACCCCCACGGCCCAGAGGCAGCCACGGCACCTGCTGCTTGTTTTGTTATCTTCATGTTTATTTATCTCCCAGTAATATGTTCATGTCATCCCTTCTTCTGTTTTTAAGATTTATTTTATTTATTTGAAAGTCAGAGTTAGAGAGGTAGAGCCAGACAGATAAAGAGGACTTCTGTCTGCTGGCTCACTCCCCAAATGACTGCAACAGCCAGAGCTGGGCTGATCTGAAGCCAGGAGCCCGGCACTTCTTCCAGGTCTCCCACGCAGTTGCAGGGGCCCAAGGACTTGGGCCATCTTCCACTGCTTTCCCAGGCCACAGCAGAGAACAGAATGGGAAGTGGAGCGGCTGGGACTCAAACTGGCACCCAAATGGGATGCCGGCACTGCAGGCCAGGGCTTTAACTCTGCACCACAGCACCGGCCTCTTTGCTTCTTGATTTATAACATTGAAACGCTATCAAATGGTTTTAAATGTTAGGGGTGTTTACACAAATCCAG